CCCCCCCCAGTATCTGGGTGATAACCCAATAACACGCCGTTATGGTTTATTTTATCAACTGTTAGTGGCAATACAACCATAAAAGCTACTGTTATCACTTGAGATATGACTGGCTTTCTATTTTTGTCCGACATTGCTTTCTCTCTTCCCTCCTCTAGCTCTGTGTGGTGGGAATATAACATCCATGAATGGCACAATTTACTCTCCTGGACACCCAGCCGAGTATCCACACTTCCAGGACTGCATGTGGACCGTCAGAGTACCCCCTGGGTACGGCATCTACATAAATTTCTCCGTTATCAATACCGAGCCAATCTACGACTACATCACTGTGTGGTAAGCCCTCATTTCTCTCTCAGTATGACATTATTTATCAATCATCAGCTTATAGCACTCATGAAACGCATGCTGTTTCTGTGCACAGAGCTCAATACAGACTTTTTCTTAACTACTTTTTCAGTTTAAAAGATCAGGGAGGGTCTGACCCCACTGACTTTAAGGGAGAGGTATCCTGGACCAGTTGCCAGCCCATCATAGGGTTCACACAGAGAGACAGACACCCACACCTAGGGCCAATTTACATTCACCAGTTAGTCTAACATGCAGGTTTTTGGACTGTTGGAGGAAGTTGTAGAACCTACAGAAACCCCACACAGACAAACACAGAATGGTGCTAGCCAAATGTCTCGAGACATTCTTGCTGAATAACGAATTAATTTGAGCTTTACAGAGCAGACATGTTTTAAGGCCAGAGGCCAGTTAAGTAAGTTACGTTCACAGCTTATGACAACAACCATACATGACAACAAATATTTTGAAAATATGTCCTGACATTTACGCCTTTCTTTTACTAACAAAATCTTTTTCGATCCTTCTGTACAACTAGATTGTTTTTATGTGACTAACTAACTAAAAGAAATTCAAGTCTGAATCACTGCGCTCCCTTTCTCTACTCCCCCAAACTTTTGCTTTTACTTTAGATCCCCCAGCAAGTGTACCATAAAAGACAGAAATGTGTATCAGCATGAAAACATCAACTCTGAGTTGCTTGGGATGTCTGTTTACAATCGAGAAACTTTACAGATAGTTGTACGACAGTAAACAATACTACCTGCCTCCTGTCACTCCAGCCGCTATTTCCCCATCTCCCCTTTTCCCTGTATCTTTCTGCATCCTCTCTGTTGTCTGAGGCAGTCATAGAGCAGTCCTCATGAGTAATAAGGGAGGGAAATGCCTTCCAGCATCCAGGGCTGCCATTGATGGTATGGGAGGAGGGAGCCACTGGCACTACTGTTTTCAAATCAAATGGCGCATAAACAATCTGTCCCTTGATGGTAACATTTTGTTTCCCTGCCTGACTGCTGTCTCTTATTTTGTTGATCTCTCTTAAAAGAAACTGCAGTAAGACTTCCAGTATATACAATATTTAAGGTGAACAAATATAAGGGAAAAAAAAACATTTAGTGTGATTTAGAAAAGAAAGCCTGGAGCTGCTTGAAAGTGCCAGTAATTAAATACATTTCTCTTGTTAAAAAATAACATTTATACATAATAGAAAAGTGCTGTCTTCTGGTGCATTTTTTATCCCTAAAGAAAATACTGTTTGGGTTGTTTTTGCATGCTAACATGATATTTTACTCCAGACATAGATCACGGTCACGCACCTGCAAGGGTTTGAAAGTTCTCTGTGCTCTCATTAGGGCAGCTGATTCTGTTTTAGAGCTGCTAGCTAATGCATGGCTCAGAAATGGCTTCACTGCTAATGACAGCTTCTATTATTACCCCACAGCCATCCACCAATTCGTCTTTTTATCTTTTAGCAGGGGAACATGTTGTCCATAAATGTAGTTTAATGTTGCAGTAGGGATGTACAGATTGCTGTCAGTAAATTTCCTGAGAAATCTCAGGAAAAGCATCTCCAAACCCTAATTACCGTTCAAGATATAAAGTGTCACAATATCCAATCCAGCGTCTATCTATTCATCCATTTTAGACGCTTTCTCCAGGCTCTACCTGGGGCATCTTGAGGTCCACCCAGGCCAGCTGGAATGTATAAGTATGCTCTGGGTCTGCCTTGGGGTCTCCTCCCAGTCAGACGTGCCGGATGTCTCTTCAGGGAGGCATGCTAGAGGCTTCCTAATTAGGTGTCTGTCTTTCTTTAACTGCCACTTTTCAGGAAAGGTCCACTCAACCAAAAAGTTCTAATGCTTTTGTAATGCTGTAACCCCAACCTACACAGGCTGCTTATGCTAGCTTTCTTTACTCATAAATCACGAATTTTATCCTGAGGCTGAGCTCCATCTCAAACAAGATACTTCAGTACACGCAATTCCTTCAGTTCCACACTTCCTCAAAGTGTGACGTTGTCCAAGAGATGCCTTAGACATGGCATCTGTGTAATTAGGATGATGGGGTTTTTTTTGCCTGCATCAATATGTAATACTGAATTGAATTATGCTCAATACATTTTTTATATATCTTTGACTCTTGATTGCTGAGAAACATTTTGGAGACTGTCAGGGGACACGCTGACCTGCTCTTTGATTCCAGCAACTTGTTAAAGCAAACTGGTGTTTAACCAGAAATGATTTTCTGTTTCTGCCTCCCTCCTTTCTCCACCCTTCATTTCTTTCCTATACTTTCTCCACCTCTATATTTCTGCACTAGGGACGGACCTGACCAGAGCTCGCCCCAAATCGGTCAGTTTAGTGGCAGCTCTGTACAGGAGGGCGTGTCCACCACTGCCAATCAGGTCCTCATCAAGTTCCACAGCGACTTCAGCACCAGCGGCTTCTTTGAGCTACATTATTTTGGTAACGTCTCCAAACTTAAGTGGAGACCTCATGCCTAACCTAAGTCTTCTCAATACCTTCTGTCATAGCATTGCTTTCAGCTCTAATGATAAATGATGAATGCAGTCTAAAGCTTTTTTTTCTTGCACTATTAAAACACCCTTCTCAAAGAGGAGCTGATTAATAATAAAACGCTCCCTATCTCAACTAAATTAGTGATTGTTTTTTGATGATCATGAACAGTGATAGGTGGCAATTTCTGATCTAATCAAGTTTCAGTATGATGGGAGAGACGCCGTTTGCCTCTCTTTATTTCTGCCTTCAAATGTGCACACAGCACTCACTCTGTTCAAGGATTCAGTTTGTTTGCCCTTTCCTCAACAGCGTACCAGCTGAGAACATGTCAGCCACCCCCTCCTGTTGCCAACGCCACGATCTTAACAGAAGATGATGAGTTTGAAATAGGTTTGTCTTATTTTATTTGCTTGTTTACCAGCCAGAGACAACGTGAAGTGAAATCAGTTTGCAGTAGGCAGATTATTTGCGCATGTGTAATTATATATAAGTAACTATGTATACAAACACTGGTGTACACATATCTTTTATATGCGTATATATGATTTAATTTAAATGAAAAATGTGTTCCTTCTTGCACTTTGCTCTTCGTTTTCATCTTTCTCTACTCGCTTTCGAAATTTTCTATCTATTCATGCTCCGTGCATTAAAGTATTAATTTGAGGGTAAGGCTAATTAGCTCTTCTTATAAGCTGTTTGTATTTTCAGTGTTCATAATTGATTAGGAAAGTGAAGTGGAAGTCATGTGGCTAGTGGCGGCCTCACTTTCTGTCTTTGAAATTGAGTGTGTGTGTGTGTGCATGGGCTTCTACCTAACTTCTATAATGTAATGAAGTGCCTTCAGTATTCTGGCTAGCTAAGGGGATGTCAATCTTCATTACAAAATGTGTTGCTGATTACTGTTTCAAGTGCTGCGAGTTTTTTACTAGCATAGCTTTGTGGGGAAGTATGTGTGTGTTTGTGTTTGAGTTGGTCTATTAACAGAAATGTTTTGCACATCCCCCCCTCCTTTGTGTGCACGTGTGTGTGTGTGTGTGTGTGTGTGTGTGTGTGTGTGTGTGTGCGATTACACGTGTAAATGATCTCACAGGGGACATTATTCGGTACACGTGCCAGCCAGGCTTCACCTTGGTGGGCAGTGAGATTCTGACCTGCCGACTTGGAGAAAGGCTACAGATGGATGGACCTCCACCAGTCTGTCAAGGTTGGTTTCATTCAGTCTGAATTGGAGTCTTTGGGTATGTTTAAAATTTTTCTGTGTTTGATTTATTTTTATTTATTTTTTTTGCATTTGTGTTTGTGTATTTAAGTGTTCCTCAAAATGTGTGTACACATTCCCCCCACACATACATATATATGTGTACGCAAACCTGTTTATGTTATGTGGTGCTTGACCACCACAGTGCTCAGGTTGGTTACAGTAAGCAGCACCCACTGATGCATTATTTGACAGACTGCCAGCAGAGCCTCGTCCAGCAGGCACCAGGTGGCAAAAAGCAGCTCTATTCCAATTTATCAAGATTCAGAGTAACAATACTACTGATCCAAGTCCATAGACTGCCATTTGCATACAACCAGCAGTTTTACTGTAGTGGGTAAGTTTGAAACCAATTACAGATCAGCAGGTTTTCACGTGCTGTAAAAACAGATATTCTACCCCTACGTAACGGTCTCATGGGTTTGATTGATGTTTGCTTACCCATAATTCTTTTGAAGATGGAATTACAAACGAGGAGCAAAGTAAAAGAAATTCCTGTCGCCTGCATCAAAGATTTTGTTTAGACAAAACAACAAATGCCTTCAGCCTCCCTGTCGTGCCAGTAAATCTCTGCTCCACACAACAGAGCACTCTGAAACCTTCTATCCCCTGTGGTTAGACATCTTTTGAAGTGCCCTGAAGTCCTTTATCTACAAGTCTTGACTTGATGAGCATTTCTGTCTTTGTATTTCTAGAAACAGTGAGTAATCGCATCGGACTTGTGATCAAGGCATGACAGATGCTTGACAAACCTCAAGCCTGCATTCATAAAGCAACGTAGAGAACGAGTAGTTATTTGGAGCCTATTTGCTTATCCCTGGCTGTTGTTACTTGATGCCTGACTTGATATCTTTGTTTTCTCCCTGCTGTGATTTTGCTGCTAACTCTGTGTTCAGAATTTGACTGACTTTAATTTTAAATTATTACTTGGTAGGTTTCACAATGGAAACACAGCAACAGCAAAGATTAGGCTCAGCAACTGTTTGATCCAAGATACGTAAACCTCAGATTTTCTTGTGTTTTTCTATCCAAATCAGCCACACAAACATCTGTCAGTAGGTAGCTTAATTAACATAGGCACAAAGGTGAGGGACCTGAAAAATGATAAATTTGAGTTGCAATTAATTAAGATGGACAGACGTGTTTGTGTGCAAAGAGAACAAACCACCTTCACTTGTGCTGTACTGGGCTTACGTAGCATTTTTCAGTATATTAATAATTTACAAAACCACAAGCATGAAGTTGAGCAGCATGTTATAAGCTTATTAGACATGCTGGAATAAAGGGGATGAGAAACAAAGCTTGATTGCTTATTTCATCAGGGTAGGTATGGCATATAGATCTCTCTTCATCAAATCTTTTATATGTCCTGTATGAGTCCTTATATCACATTATGTCAACATGAAGGGTATCAGCAACACGCAGTATGTTGTGAAGGAAAATGTTTGTAGTTAAAACAGCTGATTTCCATCAAAATGGATAAACTGATAAACTTCGCTAGTGCCAAAAGAGGGCATTCAGTCACTTTTTAAGTGCTGGGCAATATTTCAAGCCATCTCACCAAGGCTGGTCGGCCAGCTCACCTTGTCATGTGTTACTGACTACACAGAGCTCTGCCAAGAGCAGCTAGCTCATAGCATCAGAAATTCACACATTGCACTTAAAATATTTTCACAGGTTTCAATTTGAGTGACTACAGTTGACTACAAAACACGTTGGGACTATTCAACTAGTACACAATAATTCACATTGCTGTTTGAGATGCGCTAAAATATTTTTGTGTTGGACAGCAAATGCTCTCATTCATCATAAAACATCTAATGTAAATACTGTACTTTGCCAGAAAAGTGGATCTGCTTAGTGACCTAAGCTAAACCAAACTATTTGCTAAACTATATTCGTTTTGCTAAGAGAATGTGCCCATACTCAAGTACAATGCAAAAAGCTGCAGAGGTGTTAAATCAACATCTTTAAAGTGTTCAAATGTGTCAGTGATTGCAAGTCATTTGTTCAGACGCTCCTTAAATCTTGCTTTGAGCATCATATTAGCATAGTTAAGACAGCTGTAGAGTGACTAATTTATTATGTGACATTTTCATGGATTGCCTTTTCATTATATTCAAGAATTCATCTTACCGTGTTGGATATGGTATGTCTTTGTGCCACCTCTAGCATGAAACTAATTGCTCTCCTTGGGACATGTAAAGTTGAACTTAATTTGAGTTGACCTGCTATTCACATCCAAGGGACTGCCACAGTAAACTTGCATAGGAGCCACTTCTTGTCACAGCTTGCCGAAAGGGCAGGATAAAGAATTCTCATGTGCTCTCTGTATTCCGCTTTTGTTTGCTGTCAGCCTCTATGTTAATTGTAATTTTATGCTTTTAAGATAACACTGTAATGTCCTTGTATGGCTATGCAATTTAACCCCTAAATATGCTTGGCTTTTAAGATATTTCCCCAAGCTCTGTCTTTATAAAAGCCTGTGAGGAAGGTCAAACATTTTCTTAAATCAAGGGTAGAGCCACCATCGAGTTGACTGCTGCGTTGGTTAAACCATCTGCCACACTGAGGTTTAGTGTAACTAAAATATAAATGTTGTCGTATTGCGCCTGCTGTCACATTCGTATAGATGTTTGAGGAACACAAACGAGTAGGGACTCATGCACTAAACTCGTCTTTGCAATACGTACCAAAACTTTTTTGTGCGACATTAGTTTGTACATAACCCTGGGTGTCATTGGCATTCAATATGTGCAACTTTCGGAGTGAAATCAGCAATGTTGTAGTTTTCCACAAGGTAAAACATCTGTGGAAGATATAATAACTGCTGTTGGCTAAGCTTAAACAAATGATGTTAGCCTGCATGCTACCTAATGCTGACTCCAGGTAAGGTGTAGGTTAAATTAGGGCTACATGCCTCTTAAATTAGAAAACATATGTCACTGTGTTTTGTTTACTGGGTATTTAGTGTTTTTGGTATTTATGGTATAATTTTTTTTTCATGATCATTTTGAAGTGTACATATATATTTTTCAGCCAGTGTCTCTATAATCACTCACAGTAGGATACAGTGCTCGACATTTGTACTGCAGCCAAATCACCATGAATGCATTTTATAAACCTATTTCATAAAAGGCATCTGTAAAAGTATGTGGTTTCTAAAATGTTTTGAAGCCTCTCGTGACTCAGATTTTAATCCCTACCTGCAAGTTTCAGGCAAAGCAGTTTAAACCGCAACTGTGCTCAGTGGATGGACGTGTTTGTTGCTTGGCAACAACTTTAGTTTAATAAAGAAGGATTGGAGGCTCAATTATTTCAATAACAAGCACTTACCAGCTATATTGTTCTATTTACTGTGCATTAGATCTTATCAGGTGAGTCTGTTTTGTCTGCATCTTAAAGCGCTCCAACATGTGGAAATGCCAGAGGCAAATGGGAATTTGTGCAGTGTATGAACAGTTTTCGGGCTAGTAACTCCAGAGTAGTTAGTAGGAAGAAGTTGTAAAATTGAAATTAGCAAATTGCTTCTAACAATTGTTTTTTATGATTTTCCTGGAACTGTGAAGGCTCTGTAACAAGCATACCACTGGTATCAGTAAAGCAGAGGCTGCTGCTGAGCAAACAGTTCCATGAATTGATGCAACTGCATCAACTAAAGACCCCATTGAACTCCGTATTTCCAGCAAGAGTCATAACTCTTATGTTAAAATGGAGCGCTGCAGACTTTACTGTATAGAAATGTATTCAGTGTTATTTATTTTTGAAGTGTGCATTCTTCAGAGGTTTTTAAATAGCTGTTTGTAATAAACTGTAAATAGAAAACAGACCAAAAATGACTGATTGACCTTTGTCCTGACTCACCACCCACGACTGTGCAATGTGCCCTTAGTTCGCATTAGCATTCTGGGTGTGAGGAGAAAAACAAGTGCTTGTAGGAGCCGTGGTTTTGTAGCTCTGCTTTTGTGCCCTATAAAACAAAACACATGCTTTTATGTCATTCCAATCTACTTGTTGTACATTTTTAAAGTAATTCATTTACACATTGCTCTTTGTCTTTGCCTATTAGAGCGCACAAAAATATACCACGCTAAGCTAAGTAGGATGCATTACAATTAAGGAATATTCCAAAACACAACAGGAAATAACAAACATATAGAACCATATAGATTCTGTGTCTTATAAACAGCCAAAGAATAGTAGTGAAGAAAGATTGCTAGTTCACAATAATTTTTTATGTTAATTTATTTTCAGAATAGATTGTGCTGAGATTTGATGCAACCCTAATGAATACCATCAGTGTATTTATGAATATTGATTTAGCTGTGTACAAATATTTACACATTTAATATGTTTGTTGTTCAGATGATTTAAGGAGAAATTCTTCTTGAACTTGGTGCCCACAGAGAGTTCTTTTTTTTAAAGAAATGTATTGTTTCGTTGAAAATAACTGGCCTAAGCTCTTTTTGGGATCATATGTGCCTGTTATCTTTGAGCCGAAGGCTATTGCAGTTCAGCCAGTTGAAACTTTAACAATGAGTCACCAGCGGGAATATTCATACTGCTTTGTGTTACAATTCTCTGCTTCTGATGTATGTCCGATGCTTTCCAATGACCTTTTCATCTGGAACAGTCGTTTGCATTAACCTTTTGTATGCATCATGTTTCTTCACTAGTGGCCCAGAAGAGAAACTTCTGTTACTCAGAGAAAAGGAAAAGAGAGAAACAGGACTGTCATTATTTCAGACATGCCAGCCTGCAGGAAATGAAGGGAACGTTCTGACCTGATACACACGGAATCCTACACACGCACACACACACACACACACACACACACACACCATTTTTCCATACAAAGTTAGCTGTCTCACCTGCTGAGTATTATTTGATGGATTGATATCAGGGGAGCCTGGTGACAATGGCAGACTCACAAGCTCACCCCTAAGGTGCAATATCACTCTGGCTCAAATGTAATTGTTTCAGAACTACTTATTTTTACAATATCATTTCTACTGTCACAGTGAAGCATCTCTATCTTCCCTTCATCCATGTCTTACTGCATCTCAAATTTTTTCCTCTGCCTCTCGTTTTCTGCCTCTACTTTTCATCTTCCTTCCACCCTCTGTTGCTTCTTCTCATTTTCTCTGCCAATTCTTTTTCCTCCAACAATGTCACCTTTATTTTGTTTCTGTTCCCACCAGTCCAATGCCCGGCCCACGAGGTCCGTTTTGACTCAACAGGAGTAATCTTAAGCCCGGGCTATCCTGATAACTACCCCAATCTTCAGATGTGCTCCTGGCTGATCAACGTGGAGAAGGGCTACAACATCACTTTGCACTTTGAACTCTTCCAGACAGAAAAAGAGTTTGACATCTTGGAAATATTTGATGGTGGGTAAAAAACTTTGTGTTCTTTTGTTTTTTTTTAATAAATTACTGAAATTTTAAACAGGCAATCGCCTAATAGAGCATCAGCCACTAGCACATATGTTGTTTGTCATTGCCTTTAGGTCCCAACATCTACAGTCAGAGCCTCTCATCACTCAGTGGTGATATTGAAACACCCTTCAGCCTGACCACCACAGGCCACCAGCTCCTCCTGCGCTGGTCCTCCGACCATGGCACCAACCGCCGCGGCTTCCACATCAGATATGTGGGTGAGTATCAAAGTATGTATCCAGTTTATAATCATTCTCTATTTTTTTTACTATGCTATTTGGTTTTATTTTATGTTGACCTGCAGACACGTGATAAGAGCCATGGGTCTACAATTTGGACAGTTGAAAATGTAATAACACTAAACAGAGTCAGATGTGTATGAACCTCAGCTGTAGCTACTTGAAATGGCTGTGAAAACAATATGGCCCAAGGATTTTTATCACTGTGTGCTGTGTTTTCTATTGATTGATTTATTTATTTATTTTAATATGCAGTCAGTTTACAAAAACAATTTCCACATGTAATAGCTCGCAATAGGCACTCACGGGAAACAAAGCACGAGGCTGGAAACCAGTCACTAAAGGGCGGCGTGCAGCTTTGCACGTCTAAAATTACAAAAGGCTTGAATTCTTAATTGCCTCTTTAATAAAGCAAGTGATGCTAAGCAAGAGCAGCATAGCGATCTTTTCTTTCATTTGAAATGCATCAATAACAACACAAAAAAAGCACAAAAGACATTCATTTTTCATGGTGTCTGTCCATTAACTTTAATGCACCAGAGTGTTCCTGTGAAAGCAAGTTGGTGTGATGAATTTTGTAAAGAAAGCTCCTCCTTGACTTGATTGACTCTAATGGGAACTGACTCGAACTCCAGCATGTGTCCTTTCGTCTTAAATCCCTGCTATCGCCAAGTCATGTTGATTTGAGGGAATGGTTGACAGCGTTTTTTGAAGCACGCAGCCCTCCCTCCCTCAGCTTTTTGTGTCACATGGGCCATGAGATGGTCATATTCGAGAAATCAAATTTACCTTTTTGTGTTCAATGGACTGTAAGATCGGAGGAAGGAAGGCGATGGGAACAAATGCAGAATGCACCAACGCTGCATGTGTTAAAAGCAAATTGAATATGTGCATGCCCATAAGCCAAAATGGGATGGTAATAATGTGATAGGTGAGGGCTTCCTTTGCTGCGTGGTGCATAGCCCGAGTTCTAAATAGACGTGACACTCCTCGGGCGGTTCCCCCCTCATTATTGTTCTGCATTGAAAATGGAGCCTTGCTGTAACGAAAAATGTTCATCAGTTTTTCTCTAGAGGTGCTTTGCTAATGCCTCTCATCCTTTCCTCTTCTTTATTTACCCTTCTCTCTCTTTTCTTTCTTCGACTTCATCCTCGCCTTCTTTCTTGGCTCTCTCTTCTATTTGCCTTTGCTCTTTTTCCCCCACTTCCCCTCCCCTGCTTTCTCCTCTATCATAGCCATGTACTGCAGTACTCCAGACTCTCCACAACATGGCTTTGTAGTGAGCCAGACTGGGGGTCATCTAAACAGCGTGGTGCGCTGGGCCTGCGACAGGGGGTACAAGCTCATTGGAAAGGGCACAGCTGTGTGCAAGAAGACCACCTATGGCTACTACGCCTGGGACGCGCCAGTTCCTGCATGTCAAGGTGAGCTCATTGGCTGTGGCATGCTTTTATTTCCTCCTTTAGCCTGCCTCTCTACCCATTCTTCTGGTCACTGCCTCTGTACCCTTAGTCTCAACAGCCAGACAGGCAGGCGCTTAAAGCACCTAAGTGTCTGAGCCCAAGCCCTCTTCCTGTGTTGTTAGCAGCTGAACTGAAACCAGCCTGATTGAGAGCCCAGAGTCCTGTCAGGTGGAAAGGAAAAAGAAATCAATCCTCCCTTCTTCTGTCAATTTCCACTTCTTCAAATTACTTTGGCTAACTTGCCATTAGGATGCAATGTCCTCTGCTGTTCTGCCTTACTCAACTAATTGGGTTCTTCAGCGTGCATACGTGGAATATGTGCATTTATGTGCGCATGATTGCCTGCGCTAGCACAGACACACACATATACACATGCTCAGGCAGCATTAATATCAACAGATGGTGTGCTCGATTGCATTTCATCAAGATGCAGTGAAATGAAAATATGTATGTCATGTACTTTAAATGATTTAAAAACACTTCACACGTGTGATTGATTCCATCAGTTTGTTAATTGCACACTGCTTCTCCAAAGCACAAACTCAAACTTGGCTGCAGATGAACTGATACATTCATACAGATGTTGTCCATCTGTTATTTTATGCAGTGGCCAAGATCACATTACAGCATGTTCAAGCTTTCATTCTGTCTGAGAATCCACGGTGTATTAATCCATCAGTTTTGCTCATAGAAAGAGCAAAGGCTCAAAATAATTACCAGGCCCATTAACCACCTAAGCTTTGATGGTCGCACTTCAAACACCAACATTATTCATCTGCAGTGTAGAAAACTTTTTAGTTGTTTTGATTAGTATCTGCCAAGTTACAGCTAAGCAGTACTCAGATGAATGTCAATTGATTATCTTACAGGATGTTGACGGGCATTGTAATGGCTCCATGCCACGTTGGCAGATTCCTACCTTTGATGCTTCACAGTATGCAATTATCATCGCAGCTCTGTGGTTAGATATGTGTCTTTGCATAACCGTTTCTGTTTAGTGCGGCCCTTCAGATGTTAGGTTTCCTGGCTCAGTTCAGTGTGTCCGACCCAATGATGAGCACCTTAAAGTCTCTTTGTTCAAGCGTTTTGTTTGGTCTGAGCTCTGAGGCCGGAGTAATCCAGATTCACTCTGTGCAAGTTTAACATTGCACTCACTTCCAAGAACACAATGCTGTGCAGAGGTTCTTCGGCACAGTCGAGTGCTTTGTATGCCTGCATGTCAGGAACAGTTGGTGTTGGAACCAGTCACTTTTTTGGTTGCACTTGTCATTTTAATGACTTTGTTATACATCATTAGTGTGTTTTTAGATTCCCCACTGAGTCACAGTGAAAATAAGAGGTTTTAATTATTAAGTACTTTTGGATAATTTGGCATAATTAAATAGCTGTTTGGTCATTCAGATGACTTCTTTCTTGAATACCTTCTTATAAGAACATTGTAATATTTATGTGGGACTTCAATTTTCATAACCTCCCTGCAGTGTGAATACTTTCACTCTGAGACAGCCGAATGCAATTTTCCACAAGTGGTCAGTCCTAATTTCTTTGATTTCTGCCAAGTGAAAGGACAGTCTTGTGCATTAAGAGGTCTATAATATGCACAGAAATCAAATGACTTAAGTGTCAGTGTACCACAAGGGTTCTTACATTATTATTCTAATGTACACTGGGTAGGTGTGGAACCTTCTGAGTACTAAATGTTAAATTCTTTCTTTTGGACTCCTACATATTAAGGCTGTCACCCTTCAAAAAGCTAATAAAAATGTAACAATAAATTAAAATTCCACACAGTTAGTGCACCACAAAGAGGTTGCACGGGTGGGAGCACAAACATATATAGTTTTCTTTGCAAAATTGTGACTTTCTAGTGATTATATATGAATGCCTACCATACCTGTGTTCACCAGGCATCTATCTAGTATGTCTCTTGTACTGTGCATAAACATGTGGGTCGACCATTGTCCTCTTGCTGCCTGCAGCTGTGTCATGCGGTGTGCCCAATGCGCCAGCGAACGGAGGTGTGCTCACTGCTGATTACTCCGTCGGCACACGGGCGACCTACTTCTGTAACGGCGGTTACCGGCTCTCCAAAGAGCTGACGACCACAGTCTGCCAGCCAGACGGCACCTGGAGCAATCACAACAAGATACCCCGATGCTTTGGTGAGTAGAGAGGAAGCCTTGGAAAGATGGAAGGGGAGGGGAGCGCAGAGGAGAAAATAGTGATTTGGAGAAATGAGGTTGCAAAAAACCTTGCAGGATTTTTTTTTTCTGTTCATAAAAACATTTAAAAATTTTCATATTGTCTGTTGCCTCCACTCAAAGGTGGCCAAATATATGAGAGCCAAAAGAAGATAAAGCTATGTTTTGTTTTTTTGTTTTTTTTAATTGGAGGCAGTACAAGTTGGAGTTTGAGATCGTCTGAACAGCAGGTAAAATATCAAAACAGGTTTCTCCAAAATTGGAAAGCAATGGTGGAGTTAATGTAATAAGGACTGCAGTCATAAAGAAATGCAAGTTGCAGTTTCCTTACAAAAATCCCAACTTGTTGGGTCATGATAAGATGGATGGACGAAAGGGGGAATAATGCTTGAAAGGATCTCTGCAGCTGGCGCTGGGTAAGTCTTTTCACATGCCAGTGAAACTCCTCCAAGTTTGAAAGTCAGTGCAGGGAGTGATTGACAGCATTGTTTTCTGTTGAGACCACTGTTTATTCCCTGCTGTATATGTGTCTCACAGTGAAAAGGGAAACAGAGTTTGTTTTGAAACTCATTTGGTTTTAGAAAGTGCCAATTCATAAATAGCTTTGTTGTGGAAGAACATTTGTATAACTGCAACACATGGATTAGTTTATGCTGCTGCTTTGCGGTGTGTGCATAAGGGATAAAAACAAAAGTCAATCCATTGGAATAATCCAAAACTCCCGTAGTAACTGCCCATAAAAAAATTTTTCTTTTATTTTATTTTTTCAGTGATGCCGTGCCCCAGTCTTAGCCCGTTTTCCCTCGATCACGGGAAATGGAGGATAGTCAATGGCTCGCACTATGAGTATGGGACGAAAATAATCTTCACCTGCAACCCTGGATACTATCGTGTGGGCCCCGCCCACATCCAGTGCCTCGCAAACGGAGTGTGGAGCTGGAGGAACGAGAGGCCTCGGTGTAGAAGTGAGTGACTTTGGTTGCAGCAGCACAAAATATGCAGCGCTTGTGCATCTCACAAATTCATAAGTGGGGAAAGGACAAAATGACAAAGCCAAAAAAACGGGATGAACGTAAAACTGAGCCAAAAGAATAACATTCCCAGAAATGAACTCCGCTTTCCTGTGGTTCATTCTCGCATTATCTTGTAAAAAAGACATTCATTGGATAGACACGTAGCACAAAAGGCCACTTCACAAACTCGCTGAGCACGTCTGTCGATTCATTGAATAAATGGAATAGAAAGTATTTCAACATTGTCATCGAGCCAAATTGAAAAATCCATGTCCCGCCTTGCCTTGGGTACACTAGATTCATAGGATGTGGGGTTACAAGACTTGAAGAATGAATACCTGATTCACAGCTCAGTTAATCAGCAGCTCAAAGACTCACTTTTGTGCTCCTCACCTATTGCTGTCTCAGCTTAGGTTAGATATTGTTTATTACGAGAATCGGAAGTAAAAGCTTTTCATCGCTGCCATGGGAACTACTTTTAGAGAAGCTAAAAGCTGAATGGGTAGTGTAATGTGAAAAGGTGATGCTAGCCAACAGGATGAAAGATGGTGGGACAAAGGCAAACCATCATTATCCTCCCCATGAAATGGTACAGGTCACTCTTTTAACGCATTAAGGTTGGCAAGATGGGCGTAAATGACTGTGCTCTCCCATTGACTCTGAAGATGTAAGCCAACTTCTATCTCTTTATTCTTTCTCTTGTTCTCTCTTGCTCATTCTCCCGGTGCCTCCTTCATCTTTTTGCTCTTCCTTTTCTTTTCCTCCTTACTCTTCATCTCTTTGCAGTCATTTCCTGTGGCGATCTTCCCACTCCTCCTAATGGGAAGAAAATTGGGACCCAAACTACCTTCGGAGCATCAGCCATTTTCAGCTGTAACCCTGGCTATGTTTTAACTGGATCTACAGTTAGAGAGTGTCTCCTGTCTGGCCTTTGGAGTGGAATGGAGACTCAGTGCCTGGGTAAGCCAGGTTTACATGTTGTCTTTAACTTTTTAAGCACATCCTTGACCTAGGTCAAAAACTGCTGGCACTCTGCTTTGGCAGAGTATGAGCTGGGTTTTTTTCTTCTTTTTTTTTGATTGGGCAAACATGTCCAGAAAAGAACCAGATGGGGAAGCAGAGGGTGGCTATAATTGCCTCTGTTGCCAAGTGTGTTTGGCAAATAAATGTAAAGCATTAAGACGATATCATTGATGATACCATGTTTGTCATCATGCTGCGACTCAGTGATCCCACTGGAACACATCAGACTGTTTCAGACCTTGTAGAGATTATGAGGTCAAATTTGCTTTTTACTACCAACGATGGTGTATCTGGAAAAATATATTAACTTTGTGAGTCTGCGTGTTAGTCTGTGAAGACGCGGACACCGGAACAGAGTAACAGTGCAAGGTGCAACAAATAAATAACTGTAGTTGAGTTCAACAGTTAAAGTTAACCGAGTGATCGATAGATACTCAAGGGATAAATGTCAGTGTACAGTGTTGTCTTGAGAAGTCTTGAGTTTCTTTACATTTTGCAATGAAATTGAAAATGGGTGTAGTGATTTAATTAAATATGTAAAACATACATGGGGCAAAAACAGAGATTGTACAATTCTAGTGAGCTTAAAAGTGAATATTTGGTATGATCAACTTTATTCTTCATCATAGTCTGAACTTTCTTAGGCACGCTTTCTTGTAATTTCTTTGAATAGTCTTCAGGAGTACTTCTCCGGGCTTCTGATAGCGTTCCACTGTGTGTTTTTCTATCCAGGTATGCTTTGACTGCATTAGCAGTGTGTTTGTTGATCAGTCGCATTCTGAAAAATTAAGCAGTTTTGAATAGAAAATGCCAAGTAAGGTATACCTAAGCCTTTGCTCTTTGTTTCGTGGCTTCCTGACAGCCACTCCCCTACTGAGACCATTTCTGATGAAGGTTTTGCAAACAGTAGAAGGATCAACTCAAGGGCTATATGCAACACTCAGGTCCCTTTTCAGGTCTTGGATTTTTTTCCTGATTTCTTAAGGAGGTGCATTTTTTGCGGGTTTTTGATTAATAGCTTTGGGAATCACTTTGTTGGTTGAAAAATACAATCAAACGGTTCTTTTTCACTTTAATTTTTTATAGATTCTGTTAAGGAAATGGAAAGAAATGTTGCGTTTTTCTAACAGACTGCTAGTAACAAGGTGCCTAAAGATGCAATTTAAGATTGGTTCTTTGATAAGTTATGTTATATGTACCCACAACACTGGTTCATCACTTAAGTTTGGTGCTTTTTTTGGATAAGTCACAGGTCAGTGTTAAATGGATTAAGAAGAAAAAAAAAAACCCATCCCTCTGAAAATGGTCAGGTCCAAGGACTGGGCTGAAAATGTGTCCAAAATCAAACTTTAAAAGACCTTCAGAAAACCTGGAAAACTACTTGCTCAACACCACTTCAAACATTACAAGAAACTCTGAGTCTTCAAAAGCAAAATATAAAGATATTAGGTTTGGCTCAGGACTTTTGCACAGCACTGTATTGATGGATTTGTTATGGTGTGATCCCATTAGAAGATGGTCTCTAAGGCATATGTGCAAGCACTTTTATCAAATACCTTTGTTAAAAGTGCTTGGAGCAGGTTTCTGTAGAGTATAAAGTAAATCCTGTCCTTGTGAAACTTGAAACGTGAGAGCAGCTGAAGAGCCACAGCTTCTGTCAAAATGTAAAACACTTGCTAAGCTGCACTAGTAGAATTTATATGAACAGGGACAGCATGCTATTGCTTAGCTTAGCATGGCTCATCACAGCTCTGTACATTCATTCCTGCCCAACAGCAGAATGTGAATATTTGCCTCACAGATGTATTATATTAGTCAGTTAGCGGCAGAGTTGCAGAGCAGTCCCAGCTCAGCTCAAGATTGGTTCAGTTCATTAGAAGGAGGGCACCTTTAGCTTGTTTAGCGATATGACTGACAGGGTTAACATAGCCAGGGACCTTTCGGGATAGTTGCCTACTTCAGCATGATCTTCACAGAATCTGGCTGCTCTCAAATAGAGTGTGATAATAAAATGCTCAGCTGAGCTTCTGGGTGCAGGAGTGAATTAGGGAAATCAGACTCACAGTCAGGGGCAATATCCCAGGTTTTAAGTGGCAATGCAAATCTCAGCAAGATTCCTGCTCTCTGAAAGGGATTTATTGTAGCTGAAAGTAATACGATTATGTGCATGAGCATATTGCGCAGATTTTAAATTTCACATGCGTTTCTCTGTCTACTGCCGATGAGGACGGCAAAGTTATCACTACAAGTGCAGCTGATTATACGAATTTAGAAATGGAAACTCAGAGATAATGAGCTGAAAAATGCTTTCCAAATTCCAATATGTTTAGCTAATACTCTAACTGGTTTTGTTGGACCACAATATAATTCCAAGATCTTTAAAAAGACCAAATTAGTCGTGTCGTTTTATGATAGTGTTGTTAAAGTTATTCAAACATGCTAACACAATTACAATCGTGTTTCCACCCTGCAGCTATCATTTGTCAGTTCAGCGGGAGCCACTTGAGGCTTTTCATTCTCCAACACATACAAATGATAGAAAGTTGAACTCGAGCACTGAAGCACCACATGAATGATTGAGGAAAAGCAAAAACTGAGCCTCCTTATTATCAGAGTTTTATAAATCTCTCTGACTGATGCTGAAGAATCGATTGGTCTGTCTGAGAAAGATGTGTAAATATTTAATAAACATATTTATTGTATTCTTTTTTTCCACCACCCTACAGCCGGTCATTGTGGCGTTCCAGAGCAGATTGTGAATGGACAGGTGATTGGAGAAAACTATGGTTACAGAGACACGGTGGTTTACCAGTGCAACCCTGGATTTAGGCTCATTGGCTCCTCAGTACGAATCTGTCAGCAAGACCACAGCTGGTCTGGACATCTGCCAGTGTGTATCTGTAAGTACTCTAACACAATCTGTAAAGATAGCAAGGTTTGATTGCAATTAAAAAATATATTTATTTATATATATTTATTTATTTGGGGGTGTAAATCTGAATTCAGATGGATAGGTTTCTTTGCGTTTAATTCACGTCAGTGTCTGACAACACAGCCTCCTGCCTCGGTGTTGATTGCTTGTCGCAGGCATGGCAGGCATTGTTTGCATGAAAATTTGAGCACAATACAGCCAAATGAATAAAACCTTGGTGAATGTGCAGGCAGCTCCTTACAAGCTATCCTACTGTCTATGGTGAAACGTCTCATCGGCTCCTCTGCTGACCCATGTTGTTTAGAAATATGACAGAAGAAGGCGTTCCTGCACAGGGGAAAATAATGCAATGCAATTAAATGAATATTTTATTCTAAGTCCATTTGTTTTTTCTCCTTTTTTTAAATAATAAGGATTTAATTTGATTATTTTATAAGGAATAGCAAATATATATATTTGCATGACATGTTTAGCCAAAAACACAATGATTTAATTGTACTGTTGAACACAGATCAATAAATAAAGATTTGCTGTAACATCCTTTAAGATATAACATATTTCTATAAAGTAATAATGCTGTTCCAAAGCTGAGAGTGTCTTACTCCACTTCTTGTTTGGCAAACACTGAAATCAGTCCTTAGTCGATACATAACCTTGTAATTTGTTTCAATCTCTGATTCGCCTATTGATGCTCTAAAATGGGCTGTTTGCCCTTTCACAGTGGAGATCATGTCTTGACTTCTAATTCCCCCGTTGCCCTCCGAGGTTCATTGTATGATAATGACTCTTCTGTGATAGGTGTCACTGTACATGACCTCGATCATTCTTATTGAATTTTCTCTCTCTACCTCATTCTCTCTGTTTTCCCACCCACTTTGTATTTGTCTCACCTTCTCTCCTTTCCATTTTCTTTGTAACCCTTCTTTGCTGCCTTTTATTTGTCATTTTCCTCTTTCACGCCTGCTGTTGTCATGTTACCTGGGTGATGTGCTTCAACTCAAGCTGTCACATGCGGCCACCCTGGTAGCCCTATCTATGGCCGCACCACAGGCGATGGCTTCAACTACAATGATGTGGTGCACTTCTCCTGCAACAAAGGTTACACCTTGGAAGGACCCTCCACAGCTCAGTGCCAGGCCAACCGTCAGTGGAGCCACCAGCCGCCAACTTGCAGGGGTAAGGTCCAGCCACAGAACACCTGCAGCATATAAAAGAAAATTTCTTATTTTTTTCATAGAACAGAGGCTAGAAGGTTTGTCATTTGAACAGGCAGCTGCCAGTAAGCTGAAATGGAATACAGCCTGGTCACACTAGCTTCTGCAGGAGCTTTGTGATTATTCAGGTCTGAAGCAGGGAAAACCACAAGAATTCAGCAGCCAGCAGATGTATCATGATCATTCAGCAATCAGCAGCCAGCTTGCAACAGCACAGGCAATGGGGAAACAAGCAGAATGGGTAGAGGAGGAGCTCAGACATCTATTGATCTGAATGAGAGCAGATCCTACCTGCGCCGCTCTCTGGGCAGAGCATTAGGCGGCAACATCTGGAGCCTAAGCCTCGGAGCAAAAAAAAAGAAGAGAAACAGCAATAATGAGCTTACAGCAGAATGTATGGAAAGAGGACTATAATTGGGAAATTGTTTCTACGGTTTTACAGCTAGTTTCTCCCCGCGCTGCAGGGAGAGATTATTTTGAAGGCAAGAAAGCTCAGACCGCAATCAGTGGGAGAGATCTTATTGGGTGTGTCAGGTGATGGTTGTTTTTTTTTGTTTGTTTGTTTGTTTGTTTGTTTGTTTTTAAGTTGTGACCAATTGTAGTTCGCCTGTGTTAGGCTCATTAGCAATGTGTTCTGCTTCCAAGAAGAATCTTTGTTTCGGTGTAAATAGGTACTAAATGGTGTAAGCTAGTTTAAAAATTCACAGAAAAGAAGATAGAAAACAGATCATGAATTCATCAAATTAGAGAAATTCATCTAAGTAGTATCCACTGCTGTTTTAATTGGTCTCCTACCTAGTGGACCAAAACTAGATTTGCCAGACTTTGCCCATTTAAAAATACCTCTCCTCTTGGCATGTTTTTTGTTGGCAATTAGATATGAAGAGCCACAGTTTTCATTACTCCTGGCACTGCAGAGATGGAACTGGTGAAAGATAGAGTGAGATGATATTAAATTGCCATGGCTCCCTTTGTCAAAATCCGCTTGTTTGTTTCCACTAAAAATTTCTCACATTATGCCAGCTTTGTCGCATTTGCATTATTGATTAACCTTGATGTTGCTTTGAACTTAATTTCACCCTCGTCTACATTCAGTTGAGCGAACCGTCTTGTCAGCAGTGCGGTTTTAGGGACTGTAACTGTAACTGCTTCCAAAATAGATGCTTGTGACAGTGTGTTGTTTTGCTTTTTTTCTAGCGTTAGGTGAAATTATTATTGACAATGCCAAATATAGTCTGTGCTCTCTTGTTTTCATGTTTGCAGAACAAACAGAAAAAGGCAGTGATTAGGTCACATCAACAGTTCTATTATTAACTCGCATGTGCGCATACTGAGAGGCAGCAATTACGGAAACCAGGCTCCAAGCAAAAGACAAAAAGACTTCACGTCTTCCAGAAGCATCCCGAGTGATGAGACCTGGGAAGAGTTAAACTGCTGCAAAATAAGAATGTGTTGATGTAACACTCAGTGACATGTTAAAGTAAAATAGATGTTTATGAAATATGGCTCGCACTCACAGCATTCGTGACCA